ACTGAGGAGCAAATGCAATAAGGGAGGTGGCCAGTTATGAACTTGGAAATTGCCACGCTGATGTAATAGGTTATTATTGTAGAAGCACGAGCCCAAGCAGCCCTAAGTAGCCCTCCTACTGTAGAAGCAGAATGACTCATTCCCTAGGGACATGCCCACCTCCACCTCATCTTCCCCCAGGCCAGGCTCTGCGGGATTCCAAATCATGCCCCTCCTCTCAGCCTGAGACTCCACCCTCCACTTCTCTGGGGTGCAGGGCTGAGGAAGTAAGTCTGCTCAGCTGCCCAGAGAAAGTGTGGCAGCTGCTGCACTGGGTGGGGTGTGCAGGCTTGTTCCAGGGCCTGGGATCACTCTCTTGCCTCAGGCCTCCCCAGCACCTGCTGGGACCATGGTCCTGAAGAAGGCTGGATGCCTGCCACCACCCTCCTCTCTGAGTTCTTCTCCCTTCATAGCTTGGATTTGCATTTCCCCTCTACCTTCTGCTACACAAGCCCCTAGGGATGAGGTGACAGTTAAACCCCCACTTCCGGCTAGCAGCCTCAGAGTGTTCACTTCCTTCCAGGTATTTTCTGGGATGGGGGATGGGTTGAAAAATGGCAGGTGCTGAGCTTGGGGAAGAAGGAATAAGGAATTCATTTGGGTAAGAAGCTGGGGTCCCCTCATCGTGGTGTCTGAAGCTGCCCCTTAACCTTCTCTCAGGTTCTTTGCATCATGAGAGCTCAATTTGCAGGGAGGAGAGCACGCGGCCTGGAAGCAGCACATATGAGCTCTCAAGATGGGACTGCCAGCTCCGACTTACTACAGGAACAGATCCTATCTGCTTGGGGATGCAGCCCCAAGGAAGTTGCTGGGACTTCAAGTCCTCTGTCTGATGCCATAAGGCTTGCCCTCTGCTTGAAGAGAAATGCTGAGAAGGGGAGTAAGGGACGAGTGTCAAGGACCAGAGGGAAGACGTTTTCTCATATTTCTGAGAGGACCTGGCATCTTGGTGGTAGTAGCGGAGGGCAGAGCTTTTTCTGCACTCAGGTCCTGCTTCCTGGGATCTTTAGGTGAAGAGAAACAGCATCTTTAAGCAAAAGGCACTGAGCCAGGCAGTGCAGGCCCTCCGATGCAGCGGTGACCCCCACCCCCACCCCGAGGTGAGGCATGGGCTCAATCCTCTCACCAGTGAGGGATGGCCTACTTTACACTCTCCCAACCCAGATGCTCTGTGACCAGCCTTCGCTCTCCTACAGCCTTCACACTCTGGACTCCACCCTCCCACTGGTGAAGGCCTCTAAACCCCAAGGTCTTGGCAGGCAGCCATGTGCTTTCCTCCTCAATCTAAGCCCTACTGGCTCACCTGACAGTAATTTTCCCTGCCCAGTGTGGCAGTTTTCCTAGTTCAAACAAGACTAGAAGAGGGACAGCTACACATGAGCAACAGGAATGACAGCTGACAGGCTGACAGGAAAACAAGAGGTAGAAAAACCGTCTGTCCTGAAACCATTTCATCAATATACAAAAATGGAGGTTTATTAATGACTTTCAGCCAAGTAGAGGTTAACCTACATTCAGAATTTTATATCCAAATAGCAAGGAAGCATTGAAAACATTTATCACAAAAAAATGAGAACAGAGGCCAAAAGTCTTCATGCTTGAAGCAAAATCTGTTTGAAATATGTATATGTAGTAGATATATTGGAATAACTATTGCCTAACAGTGTTAGGAGGATGAAATTCTTGCCATACCTACCTAGAACTTACCCAGGGGTAGACAACTGAATGACAATTCCTTACAATCCTTGGTACTTCATAGCTCTCAAATAGTTTTTATCTAAATTAATGTAATTGAGTCTTGCTACTACCCTAAGACAGGGACTGCCAAACTGATCTTTAAGCAAACTTTTTATTTGAAATGTAACATACAAAGAGAAAAACGCACACATCACAAGCATATAACAAGTTTTCAGAAAGTGAACTAGCTCACAAACTAGCATCCAGATCACAAAACAGAACCAGCGTCTTAAGTGCCCTTCATGCCCTCTTCCACCCTCACCCATCACAAATAACCACTATACTGCCCCCAACATGGTAGTCTTCTCAATCACATTTCATCAAGAGAAGATGACTTAGAAGTCACAGGGTGAGTGGCCAGTGGAGGTAGGAAGGCCGGGAGGCAGGGACTCTGTCCCTGGTTAGATACACAGGCTTTTACCCACCACGAGCCTGTGTTCTGGTGAGGTACAACGGCACCACAATCAGGTGGCAGATGGAGGTGAGGAGAGAAAAGCAGAAGTGGTTGGGAGGTGTGGGGCACAGGTCAGCCGGTGCCTAAGAACTGCTGGAATGGAATGGAAGATGCAGCCAACAGGGGACGCAAAGGCCTGGATGTATCTCCTCTCCCTGGGCCGTGGCCCCCACAGCCTCTTTGGTGAATTATAGACTTGGAGACCAAGGGTGATGGAAGTAGTGTGGTTGGGGGGTTTAACTTCATTCACAAAAAACTAAAGCCTCACACTGGTTCTACAGAACGCTTATGGGGGGAGCCAAGCTGTTGTGTTCAGGGATAACTGTGTTAACAGAAGCAGTAGAGTTGGTGTGGCCATTCTATTTCTTGAGCTAAGGCTCAACTGGATCATAGCCAAGAGCTTTAACACCCTGAGCCGGGTCTTGTTGCTAAATAAGGATGTTAACTGCCCTAGGGGTTTTGTGAAGATCAAATGAGATAATGTGAAAGCCCTTTCATAGTAAAAGGGTATTTATGCAAATAGTTTTACTGATACTAAACATGTACCAGACTTCCATAAAAAGTAAGATATTATTAGCTGTTCTTAAACATCACCCACCTGCCTCTCTTACACAGAGAGGTTTTTTTTTGAGAGGCTTTTGCTATAGGGCCCGTGTGCTCACCAGACAGAGACAGAGAGACAGAAAGCGAGAAATCGCCCCCCCCAGGATGGCCACACTGCAATCCCTTCTCCTCCATTCTCCTTTCAGGATCCTGGGCACACGCACACACACGCCCGGCATGAGTTTAAGCCGCCGGGTCAGGGACTCGAACCACGGTCGACTACATGGGAGTCCAGCGACATAGCCATTACGCTAACTGCTGGTCCCCACAGAGAGTTATGTCAGGGAGGGGGTCTGAGACGCAAGTAGCAGGTTACAGGGAGCCGGAAGTAGCAAGGTAGTAGCCACACTAAGAGGGAGGCCTCGTCTCCACCCCCCCCCCCTGCCTCTCTTACACAGAGAGGTTTTTTTTTGAGAGGCTTTTGCTATAGGGCCCGTGTGCTCACCAGACAGAGACAGAGAGACAGAAAGCGAGAAATCGCCCCCCCCAGGATGGCCACACTGCAATCCCTTCTCCTCCATTCTCCTTTCAGGATCCTGGGCACACGCACACACACGCCCGGCATGAGTTTAAGCCGCCGGGTCAGGGACTCGAACCACGGTCGACTACATGGGAGTCCAGCGACATAGCCATTACGCTAACTGCTGGTCCCCACAGAGAGTTATGTCAGGGAGGGGGTCTGAGACGCAAGTAGCAGGTTACAGGGAGCCGGAAGTAGCAAGGTAGTAGCCACACTAAGAGTGAGGCCTCGTCTCCAAACCTGCTGGTGGGCTCAGCCTGAGCTTTGGACCTCGCCCAGCCCATCACCATCAATTCCTGTTCCCCTCCAAGACCAGAACAATCTGGCCCTGCTGGGCTGGAGGCTGCGTTCATTGATGCATTGACACTTAGCCCCTCAGATCTTGGGAGACAGCAACCCACAGCATGTGGTAGGTAGGGAGTGAAGAGTAGGCAGGCAAGGGGAAGGCAGCCTAGCCACTGCTCTTGCTAGTCTGACTTGGGTGTCGGTACTGAACTACAGAGGAGCTTGAGAAGCCCATCTACTATACAAGATACCTAGAAAAGATCTTAAGCTCCTAGGTAGACTCAGAATAGGGCCAAAACTTTAAGACAATGAGCAGGACCTAGTCTTCATAGCTGTGGGATGCAGGACAACAGTACCAGTGCCTGAGACCCCCCCACTCCTTCCACACAGCACCACTCACTCTCAGGGAGCCCTGAAACAGCTCCCCATATCAGTTTCTTTCAGCCTCCAGTAGGAGATGGGACTCCAGCACCTTCCTGCTTGTCTGGGCTGAGTGGTACCACTGCGGGTTCAAGTACAAGGGCGGGACAATTAATTCAGAACTCACGGCCTGAGCCCTCAGTCCACTAGTCCATGGAACCAAGGCCTGCAGCAGGTCACCCGTCCCCCACAGCCATCAGTGCCTTTCACTTCCTGTGCGACTGACAGTTAGGGCCCCACTTGGTGTGAGGCTGAGGCAGCCTGTGTGTGGTTATTTGTACACGGCTCTTCTTGCCTCCCTCCCCACAACTGTTTCCATTCTCACCGAGCAGCCACGTCCGGGTCAGGCACACAGGACAGCAGCTGGGGCTTTCCAAGGGACTTTTTGAAAAAGTCAGTGAAAGTTGGGTGTCAGCTACACAGCCTAGGCAGTGCTACTGAAATCCACTTTTACCCTCCAGGATGTAAGCTCTACCTGGACAGGTTGCTTATCAGGCTTTCAGACGGAAACTGAACATTAGAAATCACCTCCATAGAGCTGTTTGCTAGGCTGGGGAAAACCTTGGAAAACCCAGTTTGGAATTGGGGTTCTAGACTATTCCCTCCAACCTTGAAGGCAGCAGAGAAAATAGCTCTCGTTGGAGGAACTGTGAATGGACATGAGCAGCCTGGCCAGTCCCGGCTATGAGAGGACAGGATGGGGTGGGGGTGGGAGGTACACCAAGTCAGCATCTCCCTCGCCACACACTCCAGGCCAGGTAGGTCACAAGAGAAATTGACTCGCTAGCAACACCAGGTGGCTGGGTGACACGAAGCCCTAGTGAGAGTGCCCCGCTACTGAGTCAGGGCTCGTCATGCAGCTAGGGTCCTGGGCACTGTCCCTACTATTCTGGTTGATTGTGCACACATTACAGACATTCAGAAATGTAAGAGGAGAGCAAATGCATTTTACCTTTTATAAGACATAAGTCAGAATATTCATGTTGTTTCATTTCCATAATCATAACAATCTTGGGATAAATAGGCAGACTGTAATCACTGTTTCACAGAGAACAAGAAACTTATGGAAATTCAAACGGGGATATTCATTTCTGTAGAAACTTAAAATGAAAACTTCTAGTGAATTTTTCATTCTGAAAGAATTCACCTTGGCCAATAACATGATATATACATGACCCAAAGCCTCTTATTAGGCCAGAGGAGAAAACAAAGGGCCCACCTCCTACAGAGGTACAAACAAGCCAGAAAAGCCTTAGTGACCATCTAAGGCCTGAGAGTCTTCAGTTAGGGGGATATGAAATGTGGGTGAGTGGAACTGGCCTCAGGTATAGGGAAAGCAATAAAAAAAGAGTAAGATGAGGAAGGAAAAAAGTATTAAATATGGTCAAGGGGCAAAGGACTAAGATGTCTCAGGATCTCTTCAAGGGACACCACTGTGCCAGGTAAGGCGGCAGAGGGGGTGCAACCATTAGGCACTGGATTCCCACCTAATGGGGTTACCTGGCCTCAGGACAGCAGACCTTCCTACAAGGTCCAAGAAAGTAAGCTAGAAAGGCTGCAACCCTGAGGCTCAGAGACAGGCACAAGGAGCAAAAGAGCCCCTGCTGCTCTGGGAAGGTGCTTACAGTTCTAGCTAAGGAAAAGGAAAAAGAATGTTCTAGGGGTTAATGTTTATTAGTGTTTGACCCAGAGTCTTGCCATGGGTAAGGGGGGCACAGCCCTGGGCCATGGGTAGGAAAATCAGCATCCTACTCTCCCCTCAAATGCAATCTCTGTTAATCCACAACCCAAATCCCTCCCACCCATCAGTAGTCCAAAGAAGGTAAAAGGGTCCAGGGTCATGAAGTGTCCTCCCAACAGTCTGCTGAGTCTCAGAGTGGGAGGGTGGGAAGTATCTGAAGCTCTGCCTGTTTAGTTCCACAACAAAATACAAGCAGAGGCAGGATGAGGTGGAGAGCAAAGACGCTGGTGACCCTGTATCTTGCTAGGTCTTTATAGCTGTGTCTCTGGATTTGTAGGCAACTCCTCGACTTTTCAGCTCCCGCACAATTCCTATGGCAGGAAAAGAAACAGCTCCATGAGGGGTGATTCAGAATAAGAAAGATCCCTCAGCTGCCACCTTGAAGGGGTGCTATAAGCAAACTGCAGTTCCTACACTGCTCATTAATAGTGCTGGTTGGAGGCTAGCCAGTGGCAAGATGGTTAAGGCAACTGGATCCCATATGGCTAATTCTGTGCTTCGAGTCTCAGATCCAATGGCTTGAAAAATACCTTGGGCATTTGAGTGTGTGTGCACTCAAAATCCCAAAAGGAGAATAAAGCTCTCAAAAAGGGACTGCAGCATGGCCATCCTCCACTAAAGGGTACGTTCTCTCCTTCCAGCCAGTGCACATGTTGTACAGCAAAAAATTAAAAAAAACAAACACATAAGTCCTGCCTAGTTGGCTTGGTACCACTGAAGGTCCAGGCAGCACAACATGCAAACAATGACTTGAAACAATGAGAAGAAAAAGAGGGACACATGTAGACATCAAAAGTAAGGTTCTCGTGGGACCAGCAGATGGCACAATGGTTAAGTCACTGGTCTCCCACATGGACAACCATGGTTCAAACCATAGTTCAAGTCCCAGACCCAAAGGCTTAAAACTCATGCCAGATATGTACATGCCCAAAATCCTGAGAGAATGGACTGCAGCATGGCCATCTTCCCTGGGAGATGATTTCTTGCTTTCTGCCTTTCTATCTCTTAGGTGAGCATATGCACGCTAGAACAAAAATCACTATTAAAGAAAAAAAAAAAAAAGGCAAGGAGACAGGCTTCTAAAGCCAGCATGCCTGCATTTAAACTGGCTCTTCACTTACTAGCAAGGTGAACTCAAGCAAGTTATTTAACCTCTCTGTGCCTCAGTTCCCTCATCTGTAAAATGCGAACCTCATAAAGTTATGAGGACTGGCATTAACTCACATAAAGGATTTCTGCAGAGTTTAGTACCATAAATAAATATTGGCTGTTATTATGGTTATTACCTTGGGGTAGGCGACCAGTGACTGATACCGCATATACACCTGGCTTAAAGTTACCTGAAAGAGAAGAAAGGAGATTGTAATGGAAGTAAAGGAAGACCAAAGACCAAATGGAGGCTTAGGCTGAAAGTGAAAGTGCTGCAACTCCAAAAGAAGAGCCATCACTTCTTTTAGCTACTAGTGTTTAATGACAGGGCACAAGGCACTCCTGTTTTCCTTCAAGCTCACCTTCCCTGCCCTGAGACTGCTCACCTGCTAAGACTCCCCAACTAGACCCAAGGGACAGTAACCCCCCCACAACTAGGCCAGGATAAGTAGAAAAGGACACACTTACTCACTCGCTGCCACTTAGAGACCCAACTGTCTTCTGGACTCATCATCGCAATGATTCTATAAAGGGAATAGAAATGGAGAGTCAGCCTGAGCCCCCCACTGAAAAGAGGGGCCCATGAGAGCTGCTCAGTAAGCACACAGTTTTAAGAGAGGAAACCAAGGGAATCTTCACTGGAGAGCAGGGAAACTAATGCTGGGACACAAAGCTGGAACCAATAAAGGACCTCTGTTCCTATGTTCCTGACCTGCCAGCCACAGGTCAGTCACTATCCCCCCATAAGCAAACTGCAGTTCCTACACTGCTCATTAATAGTGCTGGTTGGAGGCTAGCCAGTGGCAAGATGGTTAGGGCAACTGGATCCCATATGGCCAATTGTGTGCTTCGAGACTTGAAAACATCCTTAGCCTACAGATTCCTGAGTAAAAGGGACAGTTTTAACAGCAGATGGCCAGCACTACTGATTACAACCAGCACAACCACTGCAGGCTGAGGCCTAGTACAAAAGGGAGGGGAGTCAAAGCCATGGATCTTACAACCAGAAACGGGGAGACTCAGTCAGGCTCTTCCCCTTAAGAGCTGTGCAACCTAAGGTACATATACGGACCTCACTCAGAATTTTGTTGGTAAGATGAAATTCAAAGGCATAGATAACAATAATATAAAAAACCCGGTACAAAGACTACCCCAGAGTAAGTGCTAAAAAGCCTGAGCTCTCATTACCCTATTTGTCCTTCCCAGATAGCTTTGATGTCAGAGCACTGGTAACATAAAGGGTCTTGAAGCGCTAGAAGCTCAGGTTCTTTCAGCAACTACAGAGGTCATTTTTGTCATTTGTGCAATCAAACGGTTAAAGCCCATTTTGTCAAGTGTCTTCTAGGCACTGATGTTTGTTGGCTGTCTCTTCAATATCCATTTCCTCTTCTTTTTGCAACAATCTTGAATTCTTATTTGGGGAGACTCCCTTCCAGTCTAAATCCTACATTCTTTTTTTTGGGGGGGGGGAGAGGTTTTTGCTATAGGGCACATGCACTTGCCAGAAAGACAGAGAGAGACAGAGAGACAGAAAGTGAGAAATCACCCCCCAGGGGGGATGGCCGCACCGCAATCTCTTCTCCTCCATTCTCCTCTTGGAATCTTGGGCACACATGCACACGCGCCCGGCCTGAGTTTAAGCCACCAGGTCCGGGGCTCAAACCATGGTTGACTACATGGGAATCCAGCGACATAGCCATTATGCCAACTGCTGGTCCCCTAAATCCTACATTCTTAATCATGTGTTCTGAGTGGAACTGACCCAGAGGTGACAAGAAAGCTAACGTTAGCTCCCTAGTCCTACGGACTGATCTGGGTAGGCACGTATGCAAGCCACCCTCCTAGTGACAATTATATTCTGTCCTTAACAATATGTCTTTCTAGCCTTCTGATCCCTGTTACCCAACTTTATTATTTATCTTAAACAGAGCCTCCATCTTTTTCCAAACATACCAGGGTCTTTTCCTCCCTTTTGTTTTAGTCACTTTCTTTTTTTTTTTTTTAAATTTATTTTTTTTTTTTTGGAGAGATTTTCACTGTAGGGCGCGTGCGCTCGCCAGACAGACAGAGAGAGACATAGAGACAGAAAGCGAGAAATCACCCCCCAGGGGGGATGGTCACGCCGCAATCCCTTCTCCTCCATTCTCCTCTCGGGATCTTGGGCACGCACGCACACGCGCCTGGCATGAGTTTTAAGCCACCGGGTCCGGGACACAAACTGCGGTTGACTACGTGGGAGTCCAGCGACATAGCCATTACGCTAACTGCTGGTTCCCTAGTCACTTTCTTTATTTGAAATGTTCTCTATCCTTCTCTCTCACCTCAATTTTCTCAAAAACCCCTGACTTACTTCCTTAAGAAGACTGCTTCTGGGACCAGCAGATGGTGTAATGGTTAAGTTGCTGGGATCCCACGTAGTTGACCGTAGTTTGAGTCCTGGACACAACAGCTTCAAACTCACACTGGGTGTGTGTGCATGCATGCATCCCAAAATCCTGAGAGGAGAATGAAGAAGGAGTTGCAGCATGGCCATCCCCCGGGGGGTGATTTCTTGCTTTCTGTCTGTCTTGCTGGTGAGTGCACATGCTCTATAGCAAAACAAAACAAAAAACAAAAACCCAACTGCTTTCTCCCCCACTTCTGCTGAGTTCATCCAGCCCTCCTCTCTGATCTCCTTTAATACTTTGCTTTGCCTACTTTTTAAAAAGAATTATTTATTTAATTTTATTTTTCATCATTAATATTATTACTTTTTAATTTGCTACAGGGCATATGCACTCACCAGAGAGAGAGAAAGTGAGAAAGCAAGCCACCAGGTCCAGGACTAAAACGGTGGCTAGCCATGTGAGAGTCTAGCGCCTTAACCACTATACCACTTGCTGGCCCCAATTTGCCTACTCTTTAAAACATAACATTAATTAGAATAGTCAATAAGCACTTGCGAAGATGCTTAACATTAGGGAAATTCAAATCAAAACTCACAATGGAGTATTAATCACACCCATTAGCATGGCTACTATTTAAAAGAAAAAAAAAAAAAAGACAAACCAAAAAATACCAGTATTGGACACTACTGGTGTGAATGTAAAACTGTGTACCCATTATGGAAAGTGTAGCAGTTCCTTGAAAAATCAAAACACTGAATTACCAAATGGTCTAGCAATTCCACTTCTGGATATATATCTAGACTTGAAAGTAGGGCCTTGAACAGGTATTTGTACACCCATGTTCATAACAGTATTTTTCAAAATAGCCAAAAGGTAGAAGCAACCCAGATGATCACCCATGAATGAGTAAGAAAAATGTAGTATATACACATACAATGAACATTAACCACTTCAAAAAGAAAATTGCCACATATGGACAAACCCTGAAGACATTATGTTAAGTAGAATAAATAAGCTAGTCACAAAAGGACAAATACCACATGATTTCAGTTACGCAGTACCTAGGGTAGTCAAACACACAAAGGAAGGCCCTGGTGGCAGTCAGGTACTGCACGAGCATAAAGGAGAGGAGAAATGGGGAGTCAGTGTTCAATGAGTACAGGAAGAAAAAGGTCTGGAGATGGATGGTGGCAATGAGGGCACAAAAATGTGAACAGACTAAAGTCAATGAATTATACACTTAAAAATGGTTAAAATGGTAAACTTTTGGTTAAGTATATTTTACCACATACACGCAAAACTTCATTCTGTGTTTCTTACCAGTACGTATCTCATTGTGTAATTCTTGACAGCTTCCATGGCAGCTAATACAGAACTTTACCAACAGATGGGAATGTATTCATTTGTTAGCACTGTACCATTCAGTACTAACAAATGAAAAAAGAAAAAAGGGACTGGAGTATCTGAGTGTGCACATGTATGTCTAGGAAGGACAGGCTCCATGCTAACATCTTTTTACCCAATCCTTTATGTTTCCCATAAAGAAATCAAAGAAATGGAATAGGCACACTTCGAAAGACAAGTAGTAGGTTTGAGTCCAATTCGTGTGTAAACTATTAATTGGCCTAGAGGCCAAAAGAAACTTAGTACCTTCTTAACCTCCAGACTACTATCCTCTGGCTCATATCCTCAGGAAGGAGAAGTGAGACCTAGCCTCTTACGTCTCTTGTTTCCTCTTTTCCCCACTGGACAATCTTGTCCTCCTCATAGGGCCTCTTAGAGGTATGTCAAAGCAGCAGCTTTAGACAATAATTGACTATTCCTGTAATTTCCACTCCCCCCCCCTTTTTTTTTTGCTACAGGGCACGTATGCTCGCCAGAAAGACGGAGACAGAGAGATAGAAAGCAAGAAATCACACCCAGGGGGAATGGCTACATCGCAACTCCTTCTCCATTCTCCTCTCGGGATCTTGGGCACACACACATGTGCGCCTTGCGTGAGTTTAAGCCACTGGGTCTGGGACTCGAACCGCAGTCGACTACATGGGAGTTCAGTGAAATAGCCATTATACCAACTGCTGGTCCCTCCCTTCATTTTCAAAAAGGATCTTCACATGCTCAACAAACATTTATCAAGCACCTACTATCTTCCAGGCTCTTGTGAGACAGTGATGGACATGATAAACACAGTCCCTACCATTCATGAGCTAACAGTCTAGTGAAACAGTGTTCAATGGAAATACAATAAAACATGCATCATTTTAAATTTTCTAGTAACCATGTTTAAAAGAATAAAAATGAAATGAGGAAATTATGTTTGATATTTCATTTAAACCAATAAATCAGAAACATGATCTTTCAATATGCAATTAAAATACAAAAAAATGAGGCTGGCTAGTGGCATAGTGGTTAGGGTGGCTGGATCCCACATGGCCTACTGCATTAGTTTGAGTCCTAGATTTAGCAGCTTGAAAAACACACCAAGTGTATGTGCCCACACCCAAAATCCCGAGAGAGGATTGCAGCATGGTCATCCCCTTTGGGGGTGCTTTCTTACTTACTCCCCCTCTCAGCCTCTCTCCAGCAAATTAAACATAAAAAAAAAATGTATTTTACATTCTTTTTTTTTTTTTTCTTTTTTTTGCTATAGGGTGCTTGGGCTCACCAGAGACACAGAAAGTAAGAAATCACTCTCCAGGGAGGATGGCTACACTGCCATCCTTCTCCTCCATTCTCTTGTTGGGATTTTGGGCATGCACGCACACATGCCCGGCATGAATTTGAAGCTGCTGGGTCCGGGACTTGAACCATGGTCAACTACATTATAGTCCAGTGACGTAATCATCGTGCCATCTGCTGGCCCCAACATTCTTCTTTTCTCAAGCTAAACCTTTAAAATCTGGTGGATATTTTACATTTAAAGCATGTCCTAATCTGGACTAGCCACATTTCAGGTGTTCAACAGCTACATTTGGCTATTAGTTATGTAGGACTAATGCATAGGACTGATATGTTTCAAAATAACTGTTGAGAACTACTAGGACTGTGGTCTTAAAAGCCTGCCCCACATTTACTTCTTGGAATGGGATGGGGTAAGGCAGGGGTGATGCAAAGTGAATGAAAGTATCTGAAGGGGCTTACCCATCGAAAGAAGAGCTGGTGCAGTCATATACCATCTCTCGGTTACCCTTCATCTGTAGGTAGGCATCACAATTGTCACAACCGTCATACTCAAACTGGTCTATAGTCTGGGGTGAGACAGTTAAAAAAAGGAAAGGAGAGATGAGCCTGAACAAGGCCAAAGAAAAAAAGGAGTCTTCTCAATACTTTATCCTGGAATCTCTTGGTTCCCTTATATCAGTTGTGTGTCCTCAGGTCCTGGACCTACTACTCCCAAAGTTCCATCCCTAAGCTCTGCCCTCACTCACTCTCCTTTCTCTCAATTCCATTTTATTCATTTCTTTCTCTGTCTCCTCTGGTTCAAGCGCCCTCTCCCTCTCCAACTACTCTCTCAGTTGCAGATTCCCCGCCCTCCTGACGCCCAAGCGCGACGGCTCCCAGTTCAGTTCACCGGACGTCCGTCAAAGGTCCAGGCCCGTGCTAAGAGCTGAGGGTTCAAAGGCATTAACAGGACCGCCGTGTCCCCCGCGCAGGTAGGACGTAAACGATGGCCTCCTTCGGCGTCCTGCCGCCCCGCCACGTCCCGGTGTCCTGGACCCAACTTTTCTCTCCACTGTCCTCAGTCCCGTTCCACCCTCTTATCCCACCTCGGTCCCCCATCGCCCCTCCAACCAGGTCCCCGACGGACACCTTGACCAGCGAACACAGCACACAAGCCCGCAGA